CCCTATCCTGCCGCCTGACCAGAGAGCTTCTCTGGCCAGGATGTCCCTAATTCAGTCAGGATGCCCAAAGTCCAGAGAATTTCTTTGCTCTTCTTCTGGACTGCCCTGCCGCTGCTTTGGTTTCTCTTTTCTTCTCTTGTGCGCTTTGATCTCATTGAAGAGTTCTTCACTACTCTTGAGAAGGTCATTCATGGCACACCGTCATAGTTCATCATCTATGACTGCCTCCCGTCTTTGAAGGACAAAAGAGCTATAGTCCTCATTTTTCGGAGTGTCGGCCAGCGTGCTGGGTCGCATACGCACCTAACCTCGTGAGGGTCCCCGAAACCTCAATCACCAGGGGGTGATTGGGTATCTGTTGAAAGACCCCTGCGCAAAATGAAGGAGTTCCCTTTGTTGTCCGCGAAGGCTACAGCACAGACCTCAGTCGTGCCCCCACTCCTATGGAGCCAAACCTCGCTGCTTCGCCCACTTGAAGAGGACTCCCAATGCCGCCATAATGGCAAAAGCTAACACCTCAAAGATCCCCGGCGCCCTTTTTAGGACCCATCTCGTCTGCTCTAGGCAAAAGGTCTGCCCCGGCTCCGGCTCCACCTGCTCCGACAGGCCCAACTTGCCTACCAGGGTTCCTCGTATGGCCTTCAAAAAGCCATCTTCCCGCATCGGGATGCAAGAATGCAGGACCTCCTCCACCATGGAACGATGCCTCCAAACACAAGAACCCCGGAGAACCGTGGCCCCCCATTACTGGTGGGCTCATAGGGTCCAACGCCATTTTCAGGTCCAGTGGCTCCTCCTCCGCTTTTCTCTTCTTTGAAGCCGAGGCCAAGGTTGAAGACAACCCCTCCGGTCCAGTGGCTCCTCCTCCGCTTTCCTCTTCTTTGAAGCCAAGGCCGAGGTTGAAGCCAACTCCTCACCCTCTTCTTTGAAGCCGAGGTTGAAGAAAACTCCTCACCCTCTTCTTTGAAGCCGAGGCCGAGGTTGAAGACAACTCCTCACCCCCCCCCTGACACTCTTGTAAGAAGGAGGTGAGGATAGCCTGTGAAGGCCACTGGCATAGATGCTGCGGCCATGCGGTCTGAAAAACCCCCTGCTCTGTTCTAACCAGAGGGGCGCCCCCCTGATCGGCATGGCAAAGGGCCTACAGACCATCCAGCCTGGGCAAACTGTGGCAGCCCAGTGTACGCGGCTGGGCGCCGTGGTGCGAAGAGCCTCATCAAGGAACCCGTTGGCCTGGGTGACATCGTACCAAACTGCTGCTGTGAGAAAACCACCGCTTGCATCCTTCCAACTTCAACAAAGTGTGAATTTGCTTGAATTGCCACATGGAAGCTGACGTGTGTCCAGACATCCTGTCGCACGAACTCTTGCCTAGGCCTTCCGGCTGTCCCATGAGGCCTATTCTGCGCTGGCATGCAATTTGACGCTTCAGGGCCTCCAAGGAAAAATTGGCCTGATTCTCAAATTCTGCCTTGAAAAAGCGGTCTCCCTTGTTTCATGGGGACCCCCTTCAGGCATGCGGAGCTCTTCAACGGGTACGGACCCAGATCACCTGCCCCCACTGCTCTTGAGAAGGTCGAACAGGGCGACGCAACCATGGCTTCGTAGTAGATGCCTTTGGCTATGAGCTGCAGCCATTTCTTCTGTACAGCTGGTATTTGGTATGGTGAAATCTGCTTTTCTGACATTCTGGGTGTCCAATTCTGTGATCTCCACCTGGACCCCCATTCGTAGTGCCAGCTTTCTCAGGAAGCCAGCTACTGATGTGCGCCTCTTCTTCCCTGTGAAAACGTAGCAAAGCTCTTCAACGGGTACGGACCCAGATCATTTGCCCCCACTGCTCTTGAGAAGGTCGAACAGGGTGGTGCAACAATGACTGCGTAGTGGATTCCTTGGGCAATGAGTTGCAGCCATTCCCTCTGTACAGCGGGTATGGTGAAACCTGTTTTTCTGTCGTTCTGGGTATCCAATGTGGTGAGCTCCACCTGGATGCCCATTCGTAGTGCCATCTTCCTCAGGAAGCCAGGTACTGATGTCTGCCTCTTCTCCTCGGAGAAAACGTAGAGGACTCGCAGAGTCCCTCATTCTGTGCCCGTCGTATCCGGGGCTGTGGCCTCTTTCCGATTCTTTGGATTGCATTCGAAGAGCGGGTGCTTCTCACTGAAGCATATCCCGCACACATGGCGGTATTTGCATTTGGCCGCCTTGCATGTCTCACCCGGTGTGTTGTACCTAAAGCAAATCAGATCACCCTCAGGCGTGTGGGTGGCACAGTGCGGGCTCCCTTTGCCTTTGCCCTTCTTCCCTTTGCCCTTTTCCTTGCCCTTCTCGCCTTTCTCTGGGGCCCTCCACTTGTCTGGTGGCTGCTCCCGCCACGGAGGCAATGGCCTCTTGGCGTAGAGGGCCAGCGGTGTTGTGAAATTCCGCTCTTTGACCGTGGCATCCTTCCATGCTATCTTCAGTGCCACTGTGTACGGCTTGCCTTCCATGTTGACGATCTTTACTGCCTGCTTCCGGATTGCCCTCTCATAGGCAATGACCAACTTCCAGGGTGGTGAGGCAAACGTTTGGCCTTCGGCATCCTTGGCACTGAGCCCATACACATAGTCCCCCAACAAATAATCTTTGTATTGCTCGATTGTTTCCTCCCAGGTGCCTTGAAGCTCGTGTCTGTTGGAATGTTTCAAAGAGATCATAACCATTGCATTCTTCAAAACCGACAATCTTCTGCGTAGTTCTTCGGCGTTCGCCGGTTCCTGCACCTTTGTAGATCCTCTCCTCATGGCCAAACGGCCCTTGGAGTCCCAAATGGGCACCACACAATCCGGCTCAATTTCTTCTTTCGACACGACTTCTGTGAGCTCCTCAGCCCGGTATTCGCCGCCCTCAATCTCGGCCAATTTCTTTTCAACATATTCTTTGGCGGGGTACACCTTGTCTTCCAAGTGCCCGTACCTCTTCTCCAGGGCTGACCGCATCGCCGCCCATTCCCCCGCCACCACTGGCCTTGACCATTGCAGCGAATCATACTCTGCGTCCACCTCCACTGCTCTCTGGCTCCTCGTCTTTGCATTACTGAACGCACACGAGATTGCGGCCACCTGCGCTCGTTCATCCAGGGCCCTCTCTGCATCAAGCTCCCAATGCTCCTTGAGCACTGTTGTAAGATCATCTCTGTCTTTCGCAAAATTCGACAGCTTCTCCAGGGTGGTCACTCCATGATGGAAAAAGAGCTTCTGGCTGTCTACGCTGACCTCATGCCTGGAAAACAAGTACTTTATGTCTGCGCCGGCCGCGTCTAGGGCTTTGTTGCCATCATCTTCCGTGAGCACCGTCCTAGGCATATCGCCCCGGATCTTGAGCCCACACCCTTCTGGACATACCAGCCAGATATGCAGCATGCGATGCTGCCATAAACACTGCTGTGTTTCTGGTGCATGCTATGCACTTGCCCCGTTCACATGCTATGTGAAAAGCAAGCCCTATGCGCTCAGTGAGGTGCGACCCCGCCTCGTCCGCCATGGGCTGCTCCCGTGCGCATGTTGCACTCCGCCCCCAAGCCTGAGCGGCGCGCTCGGCTTAGAGTCCCTTCGCTTTCCTCCCCAGGTGCGACCTGGGCACATGCGCCCTTGCTCTACCCGCCCCTGGTGCGAACAGAGGTATGCGAAAGCGCCCCTGGTGCGACCAGAGGAATGCGGACCCATCCGCCCCATTTTCTTCCTCCCCCAACAACCCTTTTAGTCGCTGAGGCTCAGCTCGTCGTGCGAGTCACTTGTGGCAGCTTGCACCGGAGTGTATACTCCTCGGGCTCGGGCAATGCTTTGTGGATCTCAGACCGCACAAAGAACCTTTTCTTTGCCATCCAACAGCCCTTCTCTCCTAGCCTGTGCAACGTGCCTCTCCCGGCGTGCCTGTACACCACCACATAGTTGCCTTCTCTTTCTTCATCCAGGGTCTCCTTCACCTTTCTCTTCTTGGCATTCCTGGCTTCCCGCTCTTCAGTGTCCCCCTCACTCTCTGAGCCGCTGTAGATCGTGGTGGCCTCTTCTGACAAGGAAACCGCTGACGGCGGCATGCCCCTCGTTCCAATCTTTTCCTAACCACACTGTCTGCCATGTCCGCCACTGACTTCTCCGTGAGCCAAAGCTTCAGCTCTTCCAGAATTGACCCCTCGTCCAGGTCCTCGTAGGCCGTCTCGCCACGTAGGATTGCGACCAGCTTCTTCTGCATCTTCTTTACAATTGCGTTGTAGGTCCGGACATAGACGTCCGACCCCTCCGGGCACCACCTGCCAAGGTAATCCCTGTCGGACTTCTCAACGCCGAGGGCGGCCAAGCCACTGGGCAGTGTCGCCCTTTCGCTGTGCTCTGACCAAAACCTCTCCCATCCGGAGGGGATCAAATTGCCATCGTAGCCCTCCAGCATTGCCATGGTCCTCGAGCTCCCCGCGACCGCCTCAGCATAGGTGACATGCGACGTCCCATACCTGGTGCCATAGAAGCAGCCCTCAGGGAATGCGTACACTCTGTGCCTCGGCATCTGCAGTTTCACCAGCTCGAAGCCTATGGAGAGCCAATCACTATGCAGCACATAGGCATCCTTCGCAATGTAGATTGGCAACTCTCGTACTCACTTCCCCGCCCCTGAGGTTTTCGACTGGTGCATCATTCCCATAAGCTGCCCATCATAGAACCTCAATTCCGACATCTTCAAATGAGCTGCATCGTCAAACCTCATCGACGTCCAGAGCTTGAGGAGCTTGAACCAGGCGCAAACCCTGACCTCGCATGGAACCGCCCCATCCACGACCAGGGTCTCCATTCAAGCCACGAAACATCCTAGCCATCGCGGTGCCCTCTTGATCGGAGGTGCATTCACCTCCAGCTTCCTTGTTAGCTCCTTCATCACCATTTGAGGGAAGACCTGGTTCATCAGCTGCTCATCCTCCTCCACCCCGGCCGTCCTCTCAAACCAAGCCACCGCCGTGCTGACTGCCAGCGGTATGGAAGGCCCCATGCCTTCCTCCTCTCTGGCGTACATGTAGTCCACCAATACCACACTGCTCGGTCTATGCCCGGGCTTACCCAGTGACTCAGCCCACACCCTGAAGCGCTGCCATGATGCCAGGTACCGCCGAATCGTTGAAATGCGGTAACAGAGCTTCCTTCGCCCTCAGAGGGTTCCTGGACTTCTTGATCTCATCGAGGACCGGGGCCTTAAATCTTTCCAACTCATCGACCAGCTTGCAAAGGACCTTCTGGTCGACCTCATTCTCTGCCGCAATCCGTCCACTCTTCAACCGAACCGTCCTACCCAGTGTGCCTCTCTTAGGCAATCCTGGCAGGACGAGGGTGCTTACCTGTGTGCCCTCGCATCCAACACATTCTGCATGGACCTCGTGGAAGAAGACCCCGCCACTCTTTCATCTAGATCGGCCATCTGCACGGCCTCTCTCACCTGACCGGTGATGAAGACCACATGCCATGGCGCCCGCTCTATCCCTAGCCCATCAGCGAGTTGTCTCGCCAGCGAAGCCTCGGTCCCATGGCTTACGGCCAGTTTGGCCCCCACGAGACCCACCTCGCTCAGGAGGTTGAGCATTTTGGCGCTCGTTTCTGGATCGGGGGTGTACACATCCCCATCCATACCTCCAAAGCAACTTCGCCTAACCCTCGAGCCTACAAGCAGGATGTGTCAAAATCGGTCATGACACGTCATGAGTGAATTCCTTGTGAATTTCTACAAGCTTTGTGAAGCTTCCTTCGTGAGCTTTGTGAACTGTGAAGATGAAGATTCCTATGGGTTGACTAGATGCACATTGGTGCGATTGGTGCGGGTCTTAGGACACTATGCTTCGGGCAAGTGTAGCCTCAGCTTTTCTCAAACGAGTTTGGTGACACCAAGATTCCACCAACGACGGCCATGACTTGATGAGGACCAACTCCATCACAGTACCTCAAACAGATAGAGAGAGAGAGAGAACCCCCGCTAGGAAAGCATGTCTCCATGTCCATCAACCCACATGCACATAGTTGACAAGTTCGCACCAACTGAGTCAACACCCAAGCGAATTTAGACCACGAAACATCGGTGCATGGCTTCTTCAAACTCCTGGTGTTGAGGTGCACTGGCTTCTTCAAGTGCTTTAGTAGCGATGCCCTTTGCTCCTAGTAGCGATGCCCTTGTTCCTTGTAGTAAGGCCAGGAGCCCCTAGTAGCTTCTTGTTCCTAGTAGCGATGCCCTCGTTTCTAGAAGCTAATTTGTAACAGCTCTGAGTTTTATCATTTCTGTCTTGTCCACGGCAAGACAAAACGTTGCTGAACATCCAGGAGTACTGGATGTGGGCACAGTGAATCTAGTCACCTGTCTGTTGTTCCACATGCATCAAAGTTACACTCCATGGTAAGCTTGCACAGTCCAACGGCCGTTAGGGTGGATATTGCAACGGAAAGGGGCCAAGAGCGATGAGCACAGAGAGATGAAGAAGACCATGAAAAGAGTGCCCGCGGTCCTGCCGTGGTTGTGACTGTTTCACATGTAAAGTGCACCGGATCAGTATTGCTGCGTGTTGTTTGGGTAATCACAATCGACAAAATCCCTTGCGTCGCATGACCAACTTTGAGCCACTCTCTCTGATCCTCTCCTCGCCAAAAGGCTGATCTGCAGGCCTTTGCCGCCCTCACCCTTGGATCGTTTCCAGGCCAAGAAGAGGAAGTGGACACAGCTGGCGACGGCAAAGAGCAACAGTACCATCAAGGTTCCTCAGAGAAGACAATCCAAGGTTTCCTGAAACTGTCACACACAAGATCATATGTATATCCACATTCCCTACTATGTATCCCTATGTGATTCGATGAACCTCTTGTTCCGGCTCGTACTGGGTGGGTGACATCCACGCTCTACCCCACCACAAGGCACCCAGGAGGAAACAAGGCAGCAACTCATCACAGCTGCAGGCATCGCTCAAAAGTTGAATAAAAAGAGGCATCCGGCATCGCCCTTAGTAACTTAGTCCCTCTTTTGAATCTTGTGTCCGTCTTAGTCTTGGCCAATTCAACCAAGCAACTCGTGCTGAACTTCATGACAGGATCCATTGGGGCCACACATCAAATGGAAATCATGTCCAAGTCGAAGGCCATCAACTGCCGACCCGGACGCTACTAGGAGCGATAGCCTCCAAGCTAGTAGTGTCCTTGCTCCTAGTAGCGATGCCCTTTGTTCCAGCTTCTTGCTGCTAGCAGTAAGGCCAGGAGCCCCTAGTAGCGTCCTTGCTCCTATTATTTGGCAAAGACATGCTAAGACATTGCAACCTTATATATCATATCATCATATCCAATAGTGACGCAATGTTACAGGATATCATCTTTTGTCCAGCCGAACGTCTCACTGCGTAGGACATGGTAGGTGAGTTGAATTCTGTCATGTACTGTATACAAACAATGAGAATGGAATCGAGGGGCATCTTACTTAAAGTAGAGCCGCAAAAAACATCTATTCAGCGACAGTAGGAACATGATGTTGTGTTCTTGAGACAGAATCACATTCTTACATTTGATGCAACAATTTACATACATGTCATACGTGTCACAGTCGTCAATGACAAGTCGCTTGTAAACCCTGCCTCCATTGCCACCAAAATGCTGTTGAAGGGCTCACCCCAGTCGATCTTGAACTGCTGGATCACAGTGAGCTGCCTAGGTTCTCAGGACAGCTCGAAGGGTTGGTGAGTGCGACATTGTGAAGTTCAGTCAGCTTCTGACCTGAAAGCTTTGGCCAACCACTGAAAGTATGAGAAGCGAGAATTCCGCATTGGGTCGTTTGTGATTGTGGGAGAGCGTTCCTTCAGTCCTGATGTACTTGGTGCGCATGATCAAGGCAGGGGTCATCTTGATACGTCGCACTTGGAGGTATATCCATGCAATTTAATTATATAGGCGTACAGCCAAGGGTGTGGCATCGCTCTGTTGTGTCACTTTCTTCCATCAAAAATGCAAACTTTGCACAAAAGTTGGAGAACAAAACCATACAAAACCAAACACATCAATTTGCACAGTGCTGCAATGAGCATTGCAGATTGGTCCAGATGCTTTGGATCCCCTTCCCCGAGTTGAAACCTTTTGGACACAGAGTAGTGCGACCCAAAGAACTGCACAATTGTCACCATCTGGCCCATGCCCAAAGCAGCAATCAGCAGGCTGCCTCTTTAGTTGCGCGACGAAAACAATATTAGACTGCTGATTGATGCTGATTGCATTTCTCGCAATGACTAATCAATAGTCCGGCTGAATTGTTCAATACTTTGCACGACAATAATAGAACAATGTATGGGAAAAAAGGACACAAAGTATATCTCTTCTGTAAGGCTGTCTCCCCAGTGAGTCTGGTTGTCCCTTCTGCCTTTCATACTTAGTTTCAGAAAGATTCAGAAAGGCTCCCCCAGACACTTTGGCACTGTGCACTCAGCCGCATGCAGAATAGCGCAAGGACATACGCTGTCAATACTGAAGAAGAAAACAACAAAGAGAAAGGATGGCAAGGCAGGTAGGCTCCAACACGGAGGCCTCTGTTCCTTCCGTGATCTTAGGCCCGTCAGGCCTGGCTGCTTGCTCTTCTGCCCTTCATTCATGAGGACCTGAGACGTGTGGAATTGGCTTGTCAAGTGGAAATATGTGACAGACACAGATTAAAGGTGAGAAAGGTCACTGACATCTCAAAAATCTGGAAGTGGGTCATGACAGGTTCACGGGTTCACTTCTCTGTTCCAGGCTCAGCCCAGCTCAATAGAATCCTACTTGCTTTGCTTTCGTCCATCATGGGAATGCCATATGTTCGCTCGGTCTACAGTTCTGCCTGGACCTTGTCACCTTGTCCAGGGTGTGATGCCAAGTTGCAACGTACAAGACAGCAATGCCAATGCATCCTAGAATTCCCACGACAGTCACCTCACACGGTTGCGGGTCGTAGAGCTGGATAGTCGTATTGAAAAAGTCTACTGAGTCTACTGGAAACACTTATATATATATAGATGCAAATTTCACATTACCCCCGAAGCAACAAATAAAGCTTGCTTTTGCAAAAGGTCACCAGCGCATAGTCACCTCCACCACATGCAACGCAAACGCCGTCCTTGCCCCAGGTGCAAGAGGAACTCATGTTTAAATTCCTTTGTTGAATCGAGGAACAACAAAATGAATTACGGTATAATATATATATATATATTTATTTATGTTCATATTCATGTATATATATATATATATTTGTATAAAATAAATTCCTTTCCAAGATCTGCTGTTCCATTTGCACACAATATATATATATATATTTATGCGTAGCGCACGTATAATCAGACTATGCCTTACCAGTAGCATCCAATGAGTGGAAGGGGTTGGACTGTTTCCCTTTGGAGATGCGTCGGTGGTATTCGCAGAACAATACCTAGCATCGACTAGCTGCGGCAGAACAGGTGTGGTAGCATAAACTTATTGAGGTCTCAAAACATCGTGTCCTCCATCCTAGTAGCTTCTTGTTACTAGTAGCGATGCCAGGAGCCCCTAGTAACAGCGATGGCCTCCAACTTACTTGCGATGGCCTCCACCTAACAGCGTCCTTGCTCCTAGTAGCGATGGCCTCCACCTAGACCTAGCCCTAAGAAACATATATAATATATGGTATACGTAAATCTGCATTAGTCCGGAGGAGAAGTCGTCACAAATGGCATTGACGGCAGCTTCCCAGGTCCGACTCCCGCAACTGTCATCCCCAGCTCTGTCCCGCGCATGTAGGCCAGGGAGGCACGCACTGCAAGCAATGGTGGTGGTGTCCTGGATCTCCAGATCTCAAGAGACGGTGTGGGAGGGCAAACCCCAAAATGATGGGGAGAAGAATTCCAGCTAACAGCTAACAGCATCAATCACCATCCTTGAACAAAATCGCTGGGATCACACTCTGTCTCCTGGCAAATTCAGCCTTTACACGGATGTGTGCAAACTGGGCCATCTAAGCAAGATCTTCCGGTAAAAAATCATAAAGTAAAATGAAATAAAACATGTCGCCTTGTGCTTACATTGGTATTCGCTGCTCAGGGTTGGTTGCTTTCTCAAACGAAAACAAAATCTCTCTTCGATACTGCAAAGGTGCCTGCGGTGTCTGCTGCTTGGGACACATGCGACAATATCCTATTCAATAAAAATACATTGTGCTATCTACATATACACACCTATTCACCGGCAGCGTAGAAAAGCCTCGCAATTCGTGTTGCAAAGGCTCAGTGTGTCTATTAGGTCATGTGCCACATCCTGTTTGAGCTGGCTCCAATGATCGGGCTGATAATCTGATACAGCCGGATGCATTGTGGGCCAGAGTCTAGGGTCCAAACCAAAAAGTAATCTGACTAATTGGCCGCAATCTACAATAATATGTTCGCTGCGTGAACATATTGTCCACCCACTGCAAGTCTTTGTCGGTCCTAATACAAAATCATGTATATATATAATATATGTATAACTACATGTCATATCAATGTCTATCATCACATAACATACATATAGCATATATCACCAAACTCCTAGGAAGGATTGGAGATCATATTGAACATTACACAATATATATATATATATCGCTTTACGTTTGCACTCCTGTTTCCACCCGCGTCTCCACGTTTCCACCCAAAGCCGCAGTCCCGACCATCAGCGCAGACGCCAGGCTCTCCACCCGGGCAGCGAACTGTCTCCCCGTAGCAACGGTAAACCATGCCAGGCTCCTGTGTGAAGGTGTTATCAAAAAAAATACAATTCATGTCTTTTCAATATACCTCGAAAGCTCACGCACCAATCTTCAACAAAATTCTGTGTATGTGGATTTATTTATGTGTTTGTCGGTGTTCGCGGGCCATAGCATGACATTCATGATGAAGGACACAAGTTTCACTATAGTGTGTGTCAGTTATAGATACAGTATTGTCTAGTTCATGCCATATATAAGGGGCCGTCGGTCTCTTTTGATTCGTGCTATATAAGTCACAGCTTGAGTTCACATGTTTTGCTTTGCTTGATATTTTGGAAACATATTTATCGTTGTGCGATCAAAACGACAACTGCGCAGGCGAACGGATGCCTATTGTTTTGCCATGTGGTAGCAGTACCAAAAGGGAATCCCTAGGAGCCCCATAACACCCAAACCACATTCTGATGCAAGTTCAGCGCACCGTTGCGCGAGAGAAGAATCCAGGCTGCAGCAGCAATTTACCTGTGCTCGCAGCACATTCAAAACATTCTGAACGTCTGCGAAGTGCCATGGACAGAATTTATCCGTGGTTAGCCAACATTACTTGCCACGGTTCCATCTTAGGTGCGGCTGAATGATATCAAAGAACATGGGTGTGCCAGCGGCTCATGTGTCTGTCTGGTCGTCACAGTGCTGCTTCCAAGAAGAATAAGGAGGGTGTCCTATGTCATGATTCAATTCCCCAAACAGTGTGGTGACACCTCTAGATCTCTACAAGGTCTCTCTACACCTCTGGATCTCTGCACCTCTGAACTCTAGATCTGTCTGGACCGCAGGGAATTGTAAAAATTGTAGATATGTCTAGTCCTCAAACGCTAGATCTCTAGAAACTTAGAGGCTAGGCCTCTACATCTCCAGATCTTGCCCTCAGGCCTTTTGGCGTTTAGCTAGACCTCCAGACCTCACTCTCCCCCGTTAAACTAGATTTCTAGACCTCTAGAACTCCTCTGGTTTGGTTGGCCCCTAGATCTGTCTGGATCTCAGACTCTAGATGTTGTACAAAACCTAGGGGTTGATATCTCTGGATCTAGATCTCCAGATCTAGATCCAGATCTCTCTGGATGTGGATGTGTGTTTAGATCTTTCTAGACCTAGAACTGTAGACCTGTAGATTCGTGGATCTCAGGACCTGTCTGGATCTCAAGACCTCCAGACCGACTCCAGACCTGTAGATCTCTCTGGAGCCCAATACGTCTAGATCTCTAGACCTTCTGCTTCTACACCTCTTGACTTTGGACCTCTATACCTCAAAACACTGTTTGGGATCTCTTGCGGGGATATGCTTCTCTTCTTGAGAAACACGTGCGTGGACGTGTGGCTTATGATTGCAGGTGCAATCCACAAAGCCAAAGCAAGTCCTGGGATTGGAGGTGGAGTACAGCAACATGTGCCCAGAACTTAACCCTTCCCACAGCTTAGTACTTCGCCTTCAGGCCTTCGGGCGCAATTCTTTAGCAGCTTCAATGCCAGAAATACAGTGCCATACCAAAAAAAGGCAAGTCAGAATTGACGGCAGGATTTTGCGAGAAACCTTCGACAAGGCAAGCCTAAGTAGAGGCTGGAACACTCTAGACAGCAACAAACAAAACTCCAGTCGCTTGGAAGGACGTGCTGATAAAGTGCTGTGCTCTCCCCGCCAAAACCGCTTGAACCCCCAAAACTAGCTTGCCAACAAATCGGCGCCAGAATAGATTGAACACGCTATAAAAGGCTGTTGAACTGGCGAGGTGCTGGAACCCTCACAGATGGATCCCTCGATGCATTCTTGGCAAAGGCCATCCCACAAGAATGTACCTGAAAACTGCAGCATGGCGGAGATGACCAATGACGTGGAGGGCCTTTTGCAAATCCCACAAAGCTTGCTTTTTGTGGTGCGGCAACAAGGCTGCATGTCTGCCCATCCAAACACCAAGTGTCTGATTGCAAATGAAGGTAAGCCCAACGATGCTAGTCAGTAATAGTATCAGAATCGCTGAGACATGGGCCCTGAAGCTAGGAAGAGAAACTGCGACAAGCACGAAACCAATGTATATTGAGGCAGGAGTCCTGCAATGCAGCCACAATAAGATATGCTGTCTGCTCCTTGCACTTGAATCCAAGTCTCCTGCCGGTACCCCGGAAACAAGCAGTGCCAAGGGACAGCGGCAACAGGGATTTTAGAGTTTCATGTCTTGAGTCTTGACACATTCGGCATTCTGGATTGCAGCGATTGGGGGACAATCAGAAGTCAAGTGCAAAGGCTACCAAAACAAGCAACCCAAATGTCACACGACATGGCACGACGGAGCAATACTGAATTTGCATGAGATGCAGCATTATTTGGGTGTGTATATATATATAATATGTACAGTACAGTATTGTTATATAATGCAAAGTATCTCGAGCGCCGCTTCAAGGGTATTCGCTACAGTTGAAACTAGTGCTGCACTGCCAAGGTTCTTGCAAGAAGAAGTGATATGGAGGTGATCACCAAAAAAACAAGATGGAGCCCACGAACCCGAATGCAAACACGTTCGAAAAGCTACATATGTCCAAATGACACTCTTGTAGGACACTCTTGTGGGACACTCTTGTAGGAAACTCTTGTGGGACACTCTTACGGGACACTCTTGTGGGACGCTCTTGTAGGACACTCTTGTGGGACACTGTTGCGGGACACTCTTGTGGGACACTCTTGTGGGACACTCTTGTGGGACACTCCTGTGGCTAACTCATTTGGGACACTCTTGTGGGACACTCTTGTGGGACACTCTTGCAGGACACTCTTGTGGGACACTCTTGTGGGACACTCTTGTGGGACACTCTTGTGGGACACTCTTGTGGGACACTCTTGTGGGACACTCTTGTGGGACACTCTTGTGGGACACTGTTGCGGGACACTCTTGCAGGACACTCTTAAGGGACACTCTTGTGGGACACTGTTGCGGGACACTGTTGCGCGACACTCTTGTGGGACACTCCTGTGGGACACTCATTTGGGACACTCTTGCGGGACACTCTTGTGGGACACTCTTGTGGGACACTCTTAAGGGACACTCTTGTGGGACACTCTTGTGGGACACGGTTGCGGGACACTCTTGTGGAACACTCTTGTCAGACACTCTTGTGGGACACTCGTGTCGCGACACGGTCTACCCACACACTAGAAGCAGTCACGCGAGCGTTTCGTACGAGACTTCCTCCAAAAGTCACGCTTCGAGGCTGCAAGACGAGCGTTTCTTGTGGGACACTCTTGTAGGACACTCTTGTGGGACACTGTTGCGGGACACTCTTGTGGGACACTCTTAAGGGACACTCTTGTGGGACACTCCTGTGGCTAACTCATTTGGGACACTCTTGTGGGACACTCTTGTGGGACACTCTTGTGAGACACTCTTGTGGGACACTCTTGTGGGACACTGTTATAGGACACTCTTGTAGGAAACTCTTGTGGGACACTCTTGTAAGACACTCTTGTGGGGCACTCTTATAGGACACTCTTGTGGGTCACTCTTGTAGGAAACTCTTGTGGGACACTCTTGTAGGACACTCTTGTGGGACACTCATATAGGCCACTGTTGTGGAAAACTCTTGTGGGACAATCTTGTAGGACACTCTTGTGGGTCACTCTTGTAGGAAACTCTTGTGGGGCACTGTTTCGGGACACTCTTGTACGACACTCTTGCGGGACACTCTTCTGGGACACTCTTGTGGGACACTCTTGTAGGACACTCTTGTAGGAAACTCTTGGGGGGGACTGTTTTGGGACTCTCTTGTAGGACACTCTTGCGGGACACTCTTGTAGGACACTCTTGTGGGCCACTCTTACGGGGCACTCTTGTGGGACACTCTTGTGGGACACTCTTGTGGGGCACTCTTGTGTGTCACTCTTATGGGGCACTCTCTTGCGAGACACTCTTGTAGGACACTCTTGTGGGTCACTCTTACACGACACTCTTGAAGGACACTCTTTGTGGGACACTCTTAGAAGACACTCTTGTGGGTCACTCTTATGGGACACTCTTGTCGGACATTCTTGTGGGACAGTCTTGTGACACACTCTTGTAGGACACTCTTGTGGGTCACTCTTACCACTCTTGTGGGACACTCTTGTAGGACACTCTTGTAGGACACTCTTGTGGGACACTCTTGTGGGACACTCTTGTGTGACACTCTTGTAGGAAACTCTTGTGGGACACTCTTGTAGGACACTCTTGTGGGGCACTCTTATAGGACACTCTTGTGGGACACTCTTAAGGGACACTCTTGTGAGACACTCTTGTGGGACACGGTTGCGGGACACTCTTGTGGAACACTCTTGTGGGACACTCTTGTGGGACACTCGTGTCGCGACACGGTCTGCCCACACACTAGAAGCAGTCACGCGAGCGTTTCGTACGAGACTTCCTCCAAAAGTCACGCTTCGAGGCTGCAAGACGAGCGTTTCGTACGAGACTTCCTCCAAAAGTCACACGTCGAGTCTCCAAAACGAGCGTTTCGTACGAGACTTCCTCCAAAAGTCACGCTGCGAGGCTGCAAGACGAGCGTTTCGTACGAGACTTCCTCCAAAAGTCACGCGTCAAGTCTCAAAAACGAGCGTTTCGCACGAGACTTCCTCCAAAAGTCACACGTCAAGTCTCCAAAACGAGCGTTTCGTACGAGACTTCCTCCAAAAGTCCAGCGGAAACACCCATCGGAGCACACACATCACGCAGCCCTGCCTAGCAATTTCGCGATTCCAGCCCCTCCAAACGACACCCGCTCACACGCCAATCCCAATGTGACAGCGACATTCACCTCTACCATAACTCACGACCTCGCGATTCCCTGCGCCTGCCACGAATCTTTCCGCATCCACACGTCTAACGCGCACAAAGTACTGCGCCTGCCACGAAATGTCACCTCCGTCACACCTCCGTCACACCTCGCAACCTCACGATTTCCTGCGCCTGCCACGAAAATCGCACTTCCACACCTCAAAGTCAGCACAAAGTACTGTGCCTGCCACGAAAAGTGAGAATATCATCTCACATGAGCTTCAACAAAATTTGCACCACACCACACGTTTAGAATGATTTCGACCCGTTCTGAGCACACTCCCATCCACCAAAATCGCCATTTCAGCTGAGACTTGTCACAAAAACAGAGCTTCGAAGCCACACCCTGAAATGCAAATCCCAATGGCACGGCCACATCCAACACCCCAAAAACACGACTCTCCAAACGCTAATCCCAATGGAACTGCGCAGTAAACTGCGGATCTCTCAAACCACTGCGCCTGTGCAGCGAAATGCATCACGTTTCTTGCGCGACATGTCATTTTCATGCAAATCACAATGGAATAGCGTCGCAAACTGACACGTGACACATCCATGAAAAGTCACTTGCAAAAGCTTCCCCCAATGGCAGCGCCTTAGCGTCCTACTGCGAACGGTTGCGAACGGTTGCGAACGGTTGCGGACGGTTGCGGACGGTTGCGGACGGTTGCGGACGGTTGCGAACATAGAAACAACGGATCGCGAACAAGACTCTACCCCCAGACCCCCAGAGTTAAACGAGAACCCTTCGCTACGCATTCGGGAATAAGGTGTGTCAATCAATTCAGAACGAGCCAAAGGAGGATCATGGTGCTCTGGGACCAGGTGTTGACTCCCAAATCACAAGATATGGACTAATCAATCATGACTGATCCTGCGGGATCCAAGAGTAAACATAAGCGATTGTGTTCTTTCGATCTTCCCAGTCCTCACCCTGAGCCACCACTGCTTGACTCGTTGTCCACTTGTCTTCCTGACCTGTTCCGGTACCACAAACCATACATTCCGACCTTGGAAGGCCGTGGCGATTCTTCCAGCACACCTAGTCGAATCTAGCAAACACCAACCTTGAAGACCGGTCTCGGTTTACAGGGGTCAATAGGGCCGATCTAAAGCAGCACTTTGCGCCCTGAATCCGGGATTCGTCTGATGCTTTGGACTGATATCAAGAAGCTCTGCAGTGTCAAGAGCACAGTCAGCCAAGCGACATGCCAGTATCATTGGCATACCTTGGGTAGTCACACTACAACAGAAGGCAGAGGACTCAGGAGCCGCAACAGAATAGCTTCCATCTGCCATCAGTTTCAGTATCTTAGTAGTTAATAGGATGAGCATTGCGGATAGTTGATGTTGGTCGTTGTCGAAGAAACATGCAAGTTGAAGTGTGCCAATGACAGCCCAGTGGCTCTCCCAATGGGCAAAGATGACAATTCACTGTGCCCATCTGTCAGCAGGCATGAGTCAAGTGGGATTTGGACATGCAAATCCTCAAAACTTGCAACAGCTCGGCAGCTGTCCACTGTCATCGACTGTCTGTCTTCAAGAGATCTGTTATGGAATCCATAGGAACAACTTGCCAACAACTGTGCCTCTCCAGCATATCTTCCCTTGTCGCAGAGCAAACAAACATCTTCACCTGGAAGCCTTAGGCGGTCAAGATGTGGAGGAAGGTGGACAGTGCAAGTTGCTGCCAACCAAATCTGTGTGGACAGTGCAAGTGCGTGGATTGAACTGCTAAGCGACGATTGGTACTCTCCAAGTCCACATGGTGTGCAAACCCTGGTGGCGCCCTGCTCCTTGGAGTAGTGGCCCACCGGACAAGTCTCACAGCCCACCTGGCGGCAGCATTTGCAGAAGTGCTTACCATAATTGGGTGTCTTCTCAGAGTAGCCCGTCACCAGCTGGAGACATAACCCCTTCTGGCATCGATGAGTTGTACGAGAAATTGTGTTGGAAGTTTGAGCGGGCTTCTCCCTGCACAATAAAGCTCACATTGAAGCTCAGCGACAGCAACAGCGCGATTGGTGATAAAGTTCATGTTCCTCAGTGAGATGTCGCCCACTGACTCGTTCAGGTGAGACATGGGGACAAGTAGAGAACTTTGGTGGAAGTCTATTGAGTATCAGCTTATAAGTTACTCTAAGTACAACCCAGAAATATGTAAGCAGATCTGCTAAAGCACGTTCCTCAACAACTTGACTTGAATTGTTCATGTTTCTAACCTGCACGCAACATCAGTGGCCACGAGTTCCTATGAACCGAATTCACGAGATGACTCACTATGGTCTCTTGGCAGCAACCTACTCATTGTCCATCATTGTTCTGTAAATTCTACTCTGTTCACTGCCAACGACAACGTGGTTCAATTCTGTTCACTGCCGACAGCAACCTGGGAAGATCTATATTCTGATGCATTATATATAATTCAAGCTAACCAAAACAGTTTTAACACGACATTCCACAGACCAAGCTGAAGCTGAAGCCAAAGCTCGAATCCACCAATCCTTTGCCAGACGTACAGGCTGTCTCGTTCGGCATCCAGGATTCCCACAAATTCCCATTCTCCTTCAACCACTCACCTGGCTGGGCAGGCTGGACAGTCCGCTGCGGGTCGGAGCCGACACCTCTTAAAGCTGTCAGTGAAGATGTCAAACTGACAAACTACAGTAAGGTACAATGGTACAATTCATATGTTGAAGTCACGTGTATGAAACTAATTTTTTGATGTCCATGAAGGCACTTCAATGCTCATGTCGTTCTGTTGGGACCTTTGTGGGTTATATACGACGATGTCGATGAAAAATAAGGAAGCTCCAGGTACAATTTCAAAGTGATGAACATGGGGGCGGAAAAAGGAGGTCAGGCTTTTGAACCAAGTCACATGCTGCGGCCCAGGGATCGTTGCCAAGCTGGACATACCTCTGAAGGCAGGAGATTTCAGGTGGAATTGCCCACCCTAGGATTTCCTATATATAATTGTCTTCATGCCCAGCAGCGGGACTTCGTATTACTTCCACCAAAGTTTCAAGGTTGGTTGTCAAAAGGTCTCAGAAAATCATGCACTTGATTGGCAGATTGACCCGCTGCAAAAACACAAATTGTCTGCACTGATGACCAAATCTGACTCCAGCTCTCTGCCACACTCCATGTCACCTGACCTGGCTAGAAAACATACAGTAAACGAATGCGCCAGTGAGATCGTATTCTCTCCTGAGCAAGAGCTTGGAGATGTCGTCTTTGAACAGGTTCATCTTTTCAGCCACATGAACCTGTCACAAGCACATCTTGTTTTGTTCCTTCAGCACTTCCAAATGGCCAGACAACCGACTTGCACCTTTGTGTTGCAAAAACCTCTTCTTATAACCAACCAAGCGACTGGTTTGTCTGCGGCAGTCTCAATTCCTCCTGATGCCGTCAACAGAATTTGAGCCAGTCCCAGTCCCATCCATTGCCATTCTCTTGCTGTCTCGTAGAGGCTGCGTGTGGGATATTCAATCATAGATCATCATAGATCGGTTGCAGTGTATTTTGTATAATAGGGATCATGTCATGTGCCCACAAAGAACGAAACCAAGCTCTGCCATACTGTGATAAAAACATGCCAACACCTGAACTCTTCTGGCACCCCAATCCTAGCTTTCACCTGCCGTCCTGAAGCCCACTTCGTCAGAATTGTGTTGGCCTTCCTGAGCAGCCAAGACCAGTTTAGGCCATAGGTAGCACGTCTGGCTGTAGTTTGTCTTACTGTCAACTTAGCTGAAGGCAGGACGGTCCAACATTCATGCAACCCGAGAGAGTTACGTCAATGCCTTGATTGATATTTGATAGACCCAGGCCTGGCCCAACGGTTAAGCTGAAAGACCGCCAAGCCACATGGTACGATAGATCTGCTGCTTTTGCTCAGAAGGGCTGTAGTCTGGAAAGATCACAATTGACGGGCTGTCCAAGGCAAACATCGTATCAGGGAACCACCAGTAGATCAGGCCTGAGCGCACGGAACCGACCAATGGATCCAAGAGACTGAGAGCGATCGAAGGCATTTGGAGCTACTAGGAGCTACTAGTAGCGTCCTTGCTCCTAGTAGCGATGCCAGGAGCCCCTAGTAGCGATGCCCTTGCTCCTAGTAGCTTCTTGTTCCTAAAAGGAGTTAACCAAGAACTTTTGCCACAAACAAAGGCAAACTTCCTCAGGAAGCAATGCAGGAAGAGGTGATCGTGCGCCAGTTTGTACAGAGATTTGATCTGTGGAAGTGCTGGGGAACAGGCAGCCCGTGGGCCAAAGAAACTTCCACAACTTGGACTTCCGTTCACGACGTGGAGAACTGCAATTGCAATTGAACGTGCTGATTCTCCTTCAACGAACCATAGAAGTTTGCAAAAAAGTGCTAGAAAATGCAAAAGCTGGCAAGGTAAGCCCATGGCTGTTCAATATTGCAAGATCCACATCATAAGCTGGAGTTGGGGGGAGGTTGTGCAGAGCACCCATCAGCCGAGTAGCTTTGCAACTCACGGCCCAGGGGGATGTAGTCGTCCACCGGTGTGATTCGAGCAGTGGCAAAAGCAACAGGCATATTGTGGAAGGTTGCTTGCTGAATCATCGGGATCAGGCCCCAGCCAGCCTGTGAAGCAGGAACATGGCATGCCCATTCACTGCTTCAATGCAATTCAAGAGTTTTAACCACTACTAAATCAGCAAGATTCAGCAAGAATATTAATTAGAATCAACCCTCCCAGCCCATATTTGACTTGCCGGACGGGTAGTAAAGACTGTCACTAAATATATCTGAATGTATAATATATATTGTATAAGTACAAAACATCTCATTACCAGGGTTAAGCCGCTTGCAAAAAAACAGAAAGTAATCAAAGAGCTCCTAGTATACACCACGAGGCCACTGACCTTCATCGAGGAGAGTATCGCATACGATTCTGAGCTTGCGTACACTTAGGAAATGGGCACTCAGCCATAAATTGCAGATAAGGCTATAATGTCTCAAAGGCACACTACACTGGCCAGATGAAAGTTGCGCTTGTTGACGTTAAACTCATGACAACCCTATCCCCCTAGAATCCTACACCATGAGACAAGGAAAGGTGTGGGCGGTCACTTGTCACCCGGAAAGCCTTTTATTATTATAGACTTAAAACGGTGTGATAATTGACCACTGCCACGAAAATCAGACTTGTTAATTCGATCCGCCGCTGACCTCAGAGTGTTTTGTAAGAAGGCTAACAAGCGCAAACTTTTGTCTGCCTGAAGTAAGTCTTCGAGGATGAGATTGTTTCGATGGCAAACATGTTGTTGCAAAATCCAGCGGATTGTAGATTGTTGGAAAACTTTGAACACTGACGCATTGCATTCAAAGCCTAAATGAAGCAAGCTTGTACAGTTGATGGTATCATGATGCATCCTGTTTAAATGTGTGTATATATATATATATCATGCGTATCAAAGTGTTTGTCATAGTGGAGAAATCATGTACAGTACAATCTACGGAATGCAAATGCTTGCTTGAAGAGACTTGCTTGAAGATAGATATATAGATTATATATATATACATCAATGTATGTAATCAGCAAACAGCTGATAATTCTGATCCAGCTACTAGGTGACCGCTGCTGCGAGTTGGTTTGGGGGACTCCATGCCTGACTGGAGCACATCGAAACCCTTCCTCCCCCGTCGGTCCCGACCTGCGCAGTGGTGCACGGTATGCAATTGCCTGGATTGCTTCGGCAAGCTGGAGGCACCCACCACTTCTCCTGGCAGGGCTTGCGACAGACGCTCCCAGAGATTGGTTCAGTTCCATTCTTGCTATTGGTAGCGACGGACTTGTTATTACTAGTAGCGATGCACTTAGTAGCTGTTAGTAGCTTCTTGCTGCTACAAGTAGCAGTAATGCCCTTGTTCCATTTTGGAGTAATGTCATGTTGGAAGTGAACGTCCATATCCCAAAATGCGTTTCAGTTTTATGTCAGTTGCTGCTCTGTTGTTGAAGTCACAGCCCTTCTCTTCCTGTCACATGTTCGTAGGAGGTTGAGTCATGTCCACCAACGTTGCTGTCTGTGATTGACGGAGCGTTATTTCCACGCGGGTGATTGTTGATTATGCTTGTTGCTCTGCATCTTGGGTGGATTGCTAGTGCTGCTAGTGCTGCTGTTGCTGCCCTTGCTGGTCCTGCCTCTGCGACTGCTGCCACATTTGCCTGTTGTGGTTGTCCTGGTCGTTGTCGTTTCTGTTGCCAAAGGCAAAACAAGTGCCCAACACAATATTCACATGTTGGTACATGTTGTAAGAGTTCAACTTTGGGGCCCTGCCAATATGATGTCCTATGTGCTTGTTTGATCTTGCTGCAGTCAGCTAAAGTTGTATGAAATTGTGATGATACGCTGATACGCACAAGTGTTGTTTTTTCTTGGAGTCAAAAAACACAACCGTGGGGCTGCTGTCTTTATTTCTACCCCCTTGCAGAGACGAAGAAAAAAAATGTGAGTGTTGACGGGGCTGCAGGTATTGTTTTGTACCTCGTCTTGTTGTTGCTCTTGATATTGTTTGTTCTGATTTATTGCTGTTCTTGTTGTTGTCTTGGTCATCGGCATCATCCTTGTGGTTGTGGCAGCGAGTCTTCTTCACGCTGCTTTGTCATTGTTCCGTTTGCCGTGGGTTTCAGCTCTGCGGGGTCCAGTCTTGATCTTTCGGCCTTTATATGGTTGAAGTAGGTGTGTTTTTGTCGCAGTCTTTATCTGTCTGGCAAGTAGCCATGGGCTGACGTGTTGCCTGATGTGGCCTTTGCATGCTCGCCGCCCAAAGGCACACAAGGGCCAGGAGTTGATCCAGCGGGGTGAGCTGAACCCTTGGCATTAACGAGGACGATGTCGAGTCTGAGAACTCCGGATTCGAAGTCTACAACTCTACGATACTGTGACTCTACGTTACATTCGGTGCACTGCAAAAGCTGCAAGTAGCGCGTGATGTGACAGAGATCTAGAAATGGATGACAGCAGCGCTACTGGGAATCCCCTTTTGGCGTCACACAAAGCCCGTCAGTCCTGCAGCTCACATTTCAAGACCAGATTTCCACCCACAGTCGTGACGCCATCATTGTCTCCAGTAGCAGCCAAATACTGTTCTGCAATCTCTGCAAAGCCAACCATGACGGACTCAGCCTCAACCAGTCGTACAATGCACCAGTGGTGAGACTTCATCCTCAAGAATATTCGTGTCTGATTTCTCATGCTGTAACTGTTTCAGTGTATGTTAGAACAGGATCTGTATGATATGCAAAACCATTCTATCGAGGTGCACAAGTTTGGAGACGTGAAAGATCAACGTCCGAGACCTTCGCAGTGTAGAGCCTTAGCTGAGCACCACTTAACCTTTAGGGTGGTCACCATGAGTCACCAGCTTAGCCGCAGCCTACAGGGAGAGCAGTTGATGCTACAAGGACCCAGATTGACCATCCCCAAGACCACTAAACCACTATGGCAAAGAGTGTGGGCATGGTTCTGTCTCCAGGAGCTCTGTGGGCATCCGATTTGATGCACCGAGTTATGTTTTTGTCAGGACACCGTGCACTGATCGTGCAAATCAACAGGTTTCCTGGGAACCCTTCAAAAGAAAATATATAAATAAAAGCTACCTCAATTGCATTCCTTTGATCAAATCCTTCACCTGTTCGTCAATGGATTTAAAGATCCATTCAAGCAAGTCTGGATCCATGACAGCTTCCCAGACACTGAGGGCTGAAGAAGTCAGCATTGTAGTTGCGGTAGAAGTCCAGTCCAAGGCCGCTCTGGTTCAAGGCGTTCTGCGCAGCGTAGAATCCAAAAAGATCTACGTCGCTTCATGTTCCACTTTGACACGAGTTTGTTAGTACTATAATACTATATACTAATTGTAAGCATGCCATGTTCAGCATCTAGAGGCTCTTGCAAGGGTCCCAAGATGAGCCAAGATCCCAAAGGCATTCGCATATACGAGTCATTTGTGTAGAATGAGGTTATAAGTTATAGTAAATTGTTAGATATTCGATCTGAAACCATGGAGCTCTGCTGGAATGAGTGTCAGTATTGACTCTGGAGTTGGTCCGGGCCTGCATCGAGCCTGCCAAAATGAACATGCCCTCGTTACCCACGTAGCCTTAGCCAAAAGTCCAAGGAAGCATCGGCTTCCTTGTTACGGAGACTTTGAGGGAGCTAGCGATTGAGTTGCGGAAAACAAATTGTAGAATTCTACCATCTATATTGTATGCATGAATGTATGACTTTCCAAACCTACAAGTGCTGCGTTAAACGTGTCCGCGTGAAGTCAAAGATCCCTTCCTAGGCACAGCACATCAGAGTAAAGGCGCCGCCGCCACATTGGCAAAAAGTCATGGGCGCTTTGGAAGAAGAATTCAGTGCACACAACAGAACGAAACCTGTAGGTGTTGGCACATGACGAAACGTGGGCACGCTTGCACATGTCAAGAAATGAACACCAACCTCCTAGGGTCCTGAAACATAGTCACAACCGCAGTTCCCAGAAGTACGATAGACTTGGCTCCACACCCCAGAAGCAAATCACAATGGGCACACGCATCCCAAGTCCACAAAACACAGCAAGACAGGTAATTATGCAAATAACATCCAACAACCCTGTCCAGAACCCAGACTGCATGGGCACACCATTTCTAAAGTCTAAACGACTTTACCCAAGCCCGTGCAACTGAACGACCGAGCTGCCTTTGCAGGACAAGTTCAGGAAATAGTTTCGGGGTGGCTTCGGAAAGTCCATTCCAAAGCCGGTGGACGCCTGTAATTTAATTGGGTTGATGCGCATAAACAGTTCGTAAGCTTGAGCTCGGCTCTTTCTCACAATTTAATCGCCTCAGCCTCAGCCCCTAGCTGGGCTGGACCTAATTCTGTGTTGTGGTCATGGTGTTTAGGATGTGGTAGCCCCCTGGTGAAACACTTCAAACATTCTCAGGTTGAAACCACTCATTTAGCACTGGGTGAAGTGCTCATCCATGCCAAGCATGAGAAGCTTGGCGATTCTAAAAAGGGGCTCAGTCTGCCGGTCTGTCTCTCTGTGATCCGTTTGATCCCAAGCAGCCGATGTCTCCAACATTCCTGCACAGGGTAGAGGCATACCGCTTGCAGAAACCACAGCAAATGCTCAATTTATATACTTGTATCAATCACCACTGCAAAGAGGAGAGCGCCCGGGAAAGGGAGGGTGTGGACAGCGTCCGGCTGTACAAGCGGTACAAGTACATTCGGATGGGTTTTCATCCTAACCGCGTGGGCTTTGTCGGACGTATGTCCAAAACAGCGCGTCTATGCGGTGTGGAAGAGCTTGCCGTGAGCTTGGGCTCAAAGCGGCTTTGTGCGTTCGGTACCAGAAGCTATAATCGAACTGCGAAGATGGAACCTCATGCCAGCAAAGGCACCAAGAGGCCTTTGAGATCATGGTCAGAAGTGGTTTCACGCGCGTGTATCTGGGTAACCTCTACTTCGCGAAATATTTTGTGTTGAAGCATGCGATTTTGGTGTGCATACTTTAGACTTGACCCAGAAAAAGAGGAAGGCGCACACACTTAGAGAAGGGACAGTGAGTAAAAATCAATCAGGGGAATGGCAGACTGACTGAGTTGCTTCCAAGGTCGATCTATCATTGTCTATCCATACATGGTGATACATCGTGTCTATCTGTACAGTATGCTTATTGTATACCTACTTCTCTATCTCTTATCCATATTCAGCTTTGTATTTACTGTATCTGCCTCTGTGGTTCATATCCATCCATCCTTCCATCCATCCGTCCGTGAGTCCGTCCGTCGTCCAGCACCTCTATCTATCGATCTATCTATCTATCCATCTATCTCTACTTATCCAGAATCTATTGGCCTGTTGTTGTGATGCAGAAAAGCCTGGCCTAGCCAGTGCTGAGGTCGCGAAGCTCTACCGTAAGTTCAAGCAAAGCGAAGGAAAGATGTAACTTAGGTATGTCTCATGACTGAAGGAGTGAAAGCCTCTACTCTGCTCTACTACTATGCTGACTATGCTTGTATAAAACCTCCAGCAGCCCAGTACCCAGCTCTGTTCCTTGGCACTTTATCGCCAAATTCCTTGAAGGCATCCGCCAGGTAGGCTTCATATCCTTGCCAACTCTCAAAACCTCAAGTTTCACAAGCTGCGTTGACCTATGCCCCAAACGCTAGGTAAGGGTCAGTCTGTGTTTTGGCCGTGGGTCTTTGGTTCTCTCAATCATCACGAAGCCTGGAGTCGCGAAGCTTTCCCGATGGCTCTGTTTGAAGAAATATGTTGATGTCAAACCATGTCAAATGCTTTTTTACATCGCCCAAGTTGTTCTCCGTAATCGTCTGATGCTGGTTGGGGTCCTTCGATCACTCCAAACAAGTAAGTGTCCTCATGTATTGGAAAGCTGTTTCAGATTGTTTCAGACTCTGCAATCACCATTGGCTAGGTGGCTGAAGTGCATGGTGCGCACACCACCGCAAGTTCCTGCAAACAGGTTGTGCAAACAGCGCTTCAATAAATGATGTTTTTGTAACCCAGTCACACTCAAACATGGCAAAGGTTCATGTCACTTTGTGTGCTCTGTCCTTCGATGATCTGAGGGGTGCCAGGAACATGGCTGCACCCGGCCAACTTGAAGGTGATCGGTCGAGAGGTGGCCGCACCATCCTTGGTAATGTTGTAGCCCAACTTCTCCTGCAACAAGCAGTCTCATTCAAACAGCCTGCGACTGGTGTCTACAGGTTCGAATACGAGGAATACAATGGCATACAAAGCATATCATGCCCATCTTTGGAGTGGAGTGGAACTCAAAAGGTCTACCGTTGAGATGGAGAGAGCAATCCACCAGCTCCTCGGTCAAAATCTCCCACAGGCTGGAGAAGAGCAAAGAACTGGCCCAATCATTCCTTAAAGCAACTGTGACCGCCGAAAGAATTGCTCCGGACACTGGTTTTTGATCATCTGAAAGCAACACATTCTCATGCGATGTACACAGAATTACTTACAGTAAACGTCAGGACGAGCATTGGAAAGCAGTAGGTTGGAGGCAATTTCAAGTAGGTTGGAGGCCATCTATCGACCCTGAACCATGGACAAAGAGCGGAGAGCTGGATGAAAACGGGTGCCCATCTGCTTGAAACATCGTTAGAATCACATTTGGAGGATGTCCGTCACCTGGGAATAATCTTCAATCCTGCTATTTTGCAGTGACAAGGAGGGGCCCAATCATCAAAATTGCTTTCCACTGTCTATTGTAATCTATCGTAGCCACAAATAGCACACATCATATTATCTTGTCCACGTGGTTGGCAATACTTGGTGGCTCAATGCGCTTGTTTGATTGTCTTTTTCCTCATTTGACTGTCGCCCGGCATTGTTGCTTGCAAGCTGAGTCGCGTCCAAAGCCCGATGGGCATTTCTTGACCGTCAAAGAAAATGGTCTTCCGGTTCGCTGGAGGGATGCCATCACTAAAGCATTGAGCTGACCTTGACTGACTGAGATAAACGTCGGACTCTGTGCAACTGGACAAAACTGTCTGCTCCGAAAACTATTCTGGGTGCACGTGAGGTCTTCGAAAATATCTGCAAACAGTTGGCTTAGGGAGGTGCCAGAAAAAGTATATATATATATATTCATATGTGCGATGCTCACCTTGTAAATATGGTTTAGGTGGAGGCCATCGCTACTAATACTAGGGTGCAGGCCATCGCTATCAGGGCAAAGAAATACATACAAACAGTCATACAGTTGCGCTGCACGACAAATTCAACCTCAGTCATGTGCTTCGATGCCCACGTCTTATTGCAGAAAGGAAGTCTAAGAAACCATGTATCACCATGGCTTAGTCGGTTTGGACGGCCGCACAAACGTGTGCCAACTTATCTCTTTGGGGGGCTCCTGAAAAGCCTCATCCGTCGAACCAAGTTTCCAAACAAATGAAACAGTGCTCCTTTCCCTCTGAGGAAGGTTTACTGTTGAACCTGCCATTCTGCATCTTCTCCTTCTTTGCTTCAAGGGAAATGGCCCATTTGAGGGGTCATCCTCTGCAAAGTCCGTAAACAGCAAGCATATCCTCCAATATCCTCCAATGTTGCTTCTCGTATTATGCATTGGTTCATTTCTCCCGATCAAAGTGTCTTGTGCACTGCTGAAGCTGCATTGACATAAGAACTTTGTGCAATGTGTTACACCAACCTGACCACCTCTGGGGATTACCAAGTAAACAGCAATGATACTGCTTCAAAGCACCTCGAAAGCCATGACAATTATATATATAATTGCTCTTCAGACTAGCTACAGGGCAGTTGTTGTCCATGCGGAGAGCAGCACAAAGTGCATCATGGCAGGCCACAATACGTTCGTCTGCGTTCTCTGTGTTTCTAGCAGGAACACAAAGTGTGCCACTGCTGCTAGAGCACAACTGCTGCACGCGGCACACTGGGGTCTGAGAGGAGCACCGCTGCACTACTACGTGCTCTTCTGGAGAGGGGCCAAGAATCAAAACCCAAACAACGAAGCGATCCGTGAAGATCCAGTGGAGCCGTGGAGCCTCCCATTCTTGGTGAATCAAGTTCGTTCCACTTGAGATCTAAGCGCATCATGGTCAAAACGGATGTTTATCTAGCTTATTATAGCTCAGAAATGTTCATCTTGACAAGTTGGTTCCAACCACCCTCTGTCCAGCAAACCCAGCCTCGCAACAAGAGCTCCTGACACGGGGTAGCTACAGAACTTACAAAACTCAATTCCACACATCATGGAAGCAGCAATGAACGACTTAGTTCATCAAATCTGCAACCGCAAGATCAATGACTTGACTGTGCGCAATGGCAATATCTGAAAAGCTAGCAAGCACTTTTCGCGGACAGTAGCAGCACGGTAAGCTTCTGAGGCAGCTGTTGAACCGATTGCTCACTCGAACTGCCGAAGGCGCTACTTCAAAAGCATCCCATCAGATGCAAGCCATCACTTCTGTTTGTCCTCCTTGTTCTCG